AGCCTGAGCTAGATATCCTGTCTCAACTAAACATTTCTAGACATCAAATCTCTTAATATCTATCTAACTAAGAAATAATCTAACAGTATCATTTCAGTTTCAGTCTTATGGAACATTTAATTTTATTATATAGAGATTATTACAAATACAAAGGCGTGTTGTATTTGACTTCATGTTTAAAGAGGACTTTCAAGTGTCATCTCAGAATATACTTAAGATTTTCCAAAACCTGTCATTTGAATATATTTTATGTTCTTTTGTCCAGTCAAGGCCTTGCCGACAACACAGTGATAGCCAAAGTGAACAACGATGTGTGGGACCTCGACAGACCTCTGGAAGATGACTGCAGTCTTCAGCTGCTCAAGTTTGATGATGATGAAGCTCAAGCTGTGAGTACATCTCAGCACTGGTCTGACACAGTGTGTATATGTGTTAGTTTTGTGGGGGGAAAAAATAAAAAGGTTTTTTTTGATACACCTATACCAGCTGAACTTTCTTGCTCTCTCTTCTCCCCAGCAGTGAGTTTACAGAGACACACACACACACCGTTGCAGTGCCCACATAGCCCCTCCTCCTCTCAGTCATTCGTAGTCTTATTCACAGTGTATTGTCATTCGTTTCATTTGCTCCAGTTGAATTGTAAGCTAAACACAGTCCGTGGTATATTTCAGGTTTTGTTGCGGTCTTGGCTCATTACGGATGACAAGTGCAGAGCCTCCCTGACCGGTTTTTGTTAATAAAGGAAACATCAGAATATGGCACCGCCCTATAGTGATGCTGCCGAGCAGTGCTAACACAACTAATTCAACAAAACACACTGACCTCTATAAAGAATTTCGAGAGGTTGGTGAGAGCTTCCTTTTCAGCATCACTGAAGCATTAAACTGTCACGTGTTATCCTGTTGTTGGCCCAGTAGCCATTTGTATTTCTCAAAGCTAAGCTAATTTTCCATCAGAGTTATCATGCCTGAATATTCTCCGACAGCAGAAATTGGTGATAGGAAAATACTTTAATTAGTAAATTAAGTTAGATGTTGCTGTACTTAACACACAGAATATGTGACAGTCTCAGAGGCTCTTGAACAACTTCCTCAAGATTGGTTTTGATTGATTTTATTTAAGTGTCCTGCACTCCTAGAAGTGCCCGGCCCATACGGTCTTAGACATTCAACAGTCATCATCCAAACTTAATAACATTTCCACACAATTCAACAATAACAAATATATCGTTAAGACAGATACAGTGTCCTTTGTCTCAGTTGCCAGGCATTTTCAATAAATCTTGCAAATACAAAAATCACTTCCTTAAAGAGCTAACTCAATATCTTCTGGTAGCCAAAACAGATCAGAATTTTTAAACTGAATTTTTTTCAAACATGTAATTCCGTAAATCATAGTACACAGAACAATGAAATACAAAATGGAGCCCATCTTCAACCACCCCAAGACCACAGATACACATAAATGCTGTTTCTTTGGAATACCTTTAAATCTGCCTATTTCCACTGCCAGAGGAAGGGTGCCAGTTCTCAATTGAGCACACAAAGACCTTTGCCTTCTCCGTAAAGGTGATGTAATATAGGTTTCTGTGGAGTACTCATCCTTACTTTGTACATACAACCATAGTTTAGGTATGCTCCATATCTCTTCCTTCCTTTCCTAACCTTGTAAATATTAAGCTTTTCCTGTCTAACTGTATTTATTATCACACTGCAAATTATTTCTAAAAATATAATCTAATCCACAAGAAGAGAGTATTGTATCTACCACTCTTGACCAAGGATAATTATGTGCTCTGTCTCAGTTAAAAATCTTTTTAGTCAGCCTTTTCTCTGGCAGCTGGATCAGGCAGTTCCATAACCTGATCATTTCACATCGTTTCTTTATAAGACATGTTTCCCAACCCATTTCATCTTCAGTAGCACATTTTGTAGTATATTTATGCACCCCAAGAAAACACCTCATTGCATTACTTTGAATAGAACTGATTATGCCAGGACAGCCTGAAAGCCCCACACACCTGCTGCATAAAACAAAGTAGGTCCTACCATGGAATAAAACAATTTTGAGAAGGTTAAATATCCAAGATCAGCCCTCAAGAATTGTATTGTTTTCATTAATGTGAATAAGTGACAGAATTACAAAATGTCTACTGCAGTCATTCTGCTGTTCTCTGCTACTAGCCAAGAAAAGATTGTCCTCATACCTTATTGTCATGTTACAACCTTGTTATCTTTTAAGTAAAATGTTAAGCCCTCTGTTGGGTTTCAGTTTTCTGTGTGGTATTGAAATTGGTATCAAATATTGATATTTTTCAGGGTATTGTATCAAAGTTTGAAATTTCAGTTCAGACACATTAGTGACAACACTAATGTGTAAATACAAAATTGTAGATTTGGATGATTTCCCCCCCGCATATATTTTATGAAGGGAAATCTAGTATTGTAAATCCACTTTAAACATCTTCTGCTGGATGCACGGTTTGCTCCTATTTGACAACCAAAAACTACACTCACCTGCCGGTGTTTAAGCCTTACTCTGAGAAAGCATGTGAAAATACTTCTGATGTGATAGCAATGTTATTGACATTTGTTTTATTTGAATTACTTTTTGTTGGTACAAACCTGGATTCTGTAATACAGAATAGTCATACATACATTCCAACAGTTCTTCAGATTAATTTCATTCAGAATAACTATATTTTCTTTATAAATTCTACAAATTATATCCTAAATGATTTTCTCATAAGTGAAAACCTACAGCAACTCTCAGGATGGGTTTCACAGGAACTTGAGAAGATAAAGAAATGGTGTGACGGCAATATACTATCTCTGAATTTGGATAAAACTAAATTTATGGTACTTGGGAATCGTAGACTAGATAATGAACTTCAATTGAAAATTGGGGGAGCGAATATAGAACGAGTATATGAAATTAAATTTCTAGGTGTCATAGTTGATGACAAATTCTCCTGGAAATCGCATATCAGATATGTTCAGAACAAAATAGCAAAAAATATATCGATATTGGTAAGGGTTAGATATATTTTGGACGGGAAAGCACTACGCATTTTGTATTCTTCATTGATTTTACCATACTTAGAGTA